CACCAATTAAAAATTATACAATGTAAGTCTATGGGAAAACAAGATTCAACTTAGGGACATTTTGACTTGGGGACACTCTTGATACACCAATTACGTCCGCATCTCAGGGTCTCACTGTACATGTTTAAAGAAGCTCATAAGCACCATTGTTAGTATTTCGAGGGACAAGAACTTGGGGAACAAGATCACAGGACTTCAGGTCCCAGGACATGAATTTTGGTACAGTTTTCCTTCACCCATCCAGCATGCAGCTAAAAACATATGAAACCCCAGCAATTTTTCCCACTTGGTCCTTCAATTCAGCTTTTACAGCAACATCCCTGCTACATTTCAAACCCATTTTGCTTGTATTATTGTATTGTGATATTGCACCCTGAATTTGTGTGCACAAAAATTAATTGTTGGATTCATTGACTGTGTGTTGCTTTATTACATTTCTTGTGATGTATTAATTTTTTATACTGTATTGTGATTTCTTGCAGCCTGTGATTAATAAGCCAGACAAAACTAGGGAATGTAATTAAGGTGCTCCCTTGAGGCCTTAATTACAAGTCTGTGGCCGCAAACCAGCTGATTTCCCTGCCTTACTATTTCTTACCATTTTCTTCCATTGAACTATGGTGCAATTACAGTATCTATTTGTTAGGCTGAATAATTCCTCAACACTGTCAACAGCAACCATAACCAATCATTCTTGACTTAGTGGACAGGTATCACGTTCATTTGTTTGATAAAAGAAGTGTACTTTCTTCCTTTTTGAAGAAAAAAAAAATGCCGGACAAATAAATAGGGTAAAAAGAGGAAAGTGATTGCGCATCATCGGGGCCAAAGAAAACGATGAAGATAATAATTTTTGAAGGGAGAGATACAATTCCTGTCGCAGGGAATATAGCGGGGTCGAATGTTTCTCAGATTCTGGAGTTTTTTACCCGAAAGTGAGGGAGCACATATTGGCATCTTTCCGGAAGATCATATTTAAAATCTGCTACAGTAATAGGGATGAAAATTATTGAGTCAAGAGTTCAATGACGTTTAGTATGCTTTTGGTACCTAATAGATTGGCAATGTAGGCACGTAATAAGAAGGGCTAAGCCTGCGTAAAACTCAATTTCTAAGGACGAAGACTGTGGCAGGATATTCTCGAGGTACAATAAAATGTTACTGCTCACCTTCGGGAAAAAAATTATTCTCTCGTCAACCGGCGGCATATTGTTGAAGATCCTTCCATTCATGCTCAGGGATTCAAGGTTTGCCAAAATTCCCATTCTCTGAGCAAGTTTCCAACCTGCTGCATCCAATTTCACCGGCAACTGATAGGTATGAAGACTTGAAAGAACACCAGGACCCACGAAGTCAGGAAACTCCAGCAAAAGCGGATCCGGGTGGAATGAAAAATTGGACACTAAATATTCCACGCCAGGTAGAATAGAATGATTGAGATACAGTTTCTCCATCCTGTAAGCAATGCATTCACCAGATTCAGGCACAGAACATAAAAAAATTCAACTATCCTATTATATTATATACTAGCCTCGGAAAAGCCTGTTCCATATTCGCTGAGTACATTTTCTCCAAGGAACACCGTAAACTTACTACCCGACATTTGGGAAACAAGATGTGTCCAGATTCGGAAGCTTTCAATAGGGAGTTCCCGAGAGTGACGGTTTCCACTGACAGCATCTCCAGGTTCGTGAGCGTCTTGCCTCTCCTCGTGAGAAATTCAACCCATGCATCTTCGTTCGTTTTCAAACTCAGGACTTGGAGCACCTTTAATTTACTCCAATCGTGATGACGAAATACTGGTTGTAAAATGTCCATGGGCCAAAAAGCTTCCATGCCAAATTTGAATCTGAACTTCAATGAAAGCCTCCGAACACACCTACTTTGAATGGGCAAATGAGCGATAACATATCAAATTAAGGAATTCAACTTTACCTATACACAACATTGCAGAATTCTTTCAAGTGTCCACATGGCGGAAATTCCACTCCATTCTCAAAACAAAAGTCGATACGCGTCCAACAACTTCCATCCTTCATCAAGCGAAAAAACTGCCGACATACTGGAACAACGCCTTGCATAATTTGAAATGGTGTCAGAAATTTCATGATATTCCTGAGAACCAGCGAAGGACATGATAAAAGGAGCGACGTCTGTGGCTCTATGACGTGACTGATGCCATCACTGAGGAGGAACATGATCCTGAAAGAAGCTTTGAAAAACATTGGACGCCAGTCATTCCTTTCAACTTCCGCCATCATTTTCATGCAGTAGAATATGATTGTCTACGCAAATACGAAAAAACATTGTACGGAGTTTTTTTTTTTTTTTTTTTTGAATAGAAATCGACTACATATGGAAGCAGGACGTCCAGAAAAACGCCGAAGTGAGGGTTTAACGTGCAGTATGAAATATAAATTACCGTAACATGGTTTCGCTCTTTTAAAAGCTCAAATTCGCATGAAAAAATGCAAGGCTTCGTGAAATTTCCCACTTCACGTATTTATCAACCACACAGTTTCCGCCTGTGACAAAATCTCCATCAGATGACTGGTTCATAAATTCAGCCAATCGTAAAGCACATAATATTCTGTAGCATTGTTGCTCGTTGGATCAAGATGCGAGTTACGTTAACGGGCCAATTCAATAGAACTCCTTTCCTGTGACCAATTTGAATAGGCAGAAGGCATTAGCTTGAGGATCACTGCGGACAAAAAGTTTCACAAGTTTGACGAATTTAATGTCTTTGCTTCACGTTATTTCATGAAATTGTAAATTCTTTATTTCTTGTGGCCATTTTCGAGATTCTTTAACTATGTTCCAAACAAAGTTTTCTGATCGTGGCGACTCCATCCCTCATTCCCCTCAACTACATCGATTAGGGAACATGATGTTGTTAAAATGAACAAACATTCTTGAAAATCCCACGTAAATGTTTTATACGATTGCACCAAGTTTCGTTCTTGGTTCGAGAATATTTAGAAGCTGATCTTAAAAAGAAGATTTAAATCGCAAAGAATTTCATTCCATGGTACAACAAAGATAAACATACGGTATATACTCACGAATTTTGGAGAAGAACCCCTCAATGATGTCTCCGTGTCTCAAAATACACTGGGATCTCTGCTTATAAGACGGCAAAAGGTAATTATTCACGTGTAGATACAAACCGAAGCGGTGCGTGATTGTTTCAACTACAGTTAATACGAAATCTCCGCTTGCGTCCTGAACGATGGAGAAAATCATCCACAAATTGGCTTGCTTCGAACAAACCACTCCAACTTTCATCCCGTTCTCTTCTTTATGAACATCTGAGAAGAATTGTTCAAATGGAGTCAGATGAATACTGCACTCGGAAATGCAAAATATAAGAGCATACAGTACTGTATATTCAACTTACGTAGACGAACCCGCGTCCCCTCAGTAATACACGCGTATCCGAACTTTTCAAAATAACACGAAATCGTCATTCGACTCGGATTCGTGTCGCACCTTCTCGACCCGGCGTCTGTCGCAGCACGTCGTTCCAATTCCATGTAGGCAAGGTCTCGGAGACCATAGTCTAATTTCACGAGAAACGCACGCATGACGGAAATTAAAGCTGCGGGGCGAAATTTTTTACTAAACTTCTTGAAACTCCGATACTGTTGCCTTTCGCACCTACAGTCGTGGAGCAGAAAAATAGCAGAAAAAGTGTGTGTGACGGTTATCCCAAAACAGATGTTCTCTTCTTGAAATACATTATACAATCGTGCAGCTTTACGACGCGCAAGAACAAGACATTCACAGCCCAGTACCTGTAAAACAGCAACAAACCACAATTTTGCATGACACTCCGAAAAAAGAAGTGAACTCTGGGCCGAAACAAGAGAGAGGCGACCTTTTTCGTTTTTTTCAGTACATATATTCGTGAGTTCGGTTATACCCTCAAATTATTCACGGCTTGAACATATTGACGTTCTCCGCAGCAGATAAAAAATAATTTCATGCAGTACACATCTCTTGGTCTTCGTTTTTCCAATTCAATTAATTGCTCCCTGTTACCGCTGCCACGCAGCAGATATGTTCCGGCCGTATTTTTAAAATGAACATATTTCGTTAAATGCGGATGAGCCAAATTTGTCAACTATTGCTAACCTCTCGAAGTCTCGGAACAACCGGAATCAAGAATTTGCTGTATCATCAAATAACGGACGTGCGTGTCAAATGTTCGGAAATCATGGTGAACTTTCAAATAATGTTGGAAAGATGCCAATTTACACTGATACTGTATATGTGGATCAGGTACACTTTGCACATGCACTTGCGTCTTTTTTTTTTTTTGATTCTGCAATGGACTCCCGAGAGAGTCGGCGATCCGCAGAATGAAAAATCACGTCGGAACAGATGAGTTCGGTTGCGCTGGGACCCACTAAAATGATTCACAGCATCTTCAATATATTAAAAAAAATAATGTAGATATCAGACTTGATCAATCAGACCCAGGAAGATGGTCCATAAAAGATGACTGAAATCATCAATAACTATAGGAGCACGCCCCACGTTTAACGGTTACGGCACATATACACTCGAATCCAAATTTATAGCCAACTCTGTTCCACATGCATTTTGCGGCAAATTTCTCAACAAGGAAAGCACTAGATTGAGGATTGAATACACAACACACATGCCATGTGAAAGCTGGTGATCAATGAGAACGACGTTATTCCGACATTAGATGCTATGAGTAAGATAAAAATGAACAGGGCCAAATTCCATGTCAGCTTGCCTCAGAACACGATCTGGGATGACGCATTCTTGCTTGATCTCCAGAAAATTGAAATACAATAATGGCTCTTTCAGTAAGAACCAACACAACATTTCCAGTCACTTGAACGCCATCAGGGTTTGAACTTTTTTTTCCTACTTCGTCAGATTGCTTCATAAAGCAGGAAGAACGAACGGAAGAAAAAAGTAACACCGATATCAGAAGGGACCCTTCCGGAAACTCACACTCCACATTTCACGAAATTGCGACTTGAAATGTCAAAGTTCACTCATTTTCAAACCCATTGTGGACAAAAGGAATAAAACCTGAAAATGAAAAATGTGAGTCAAAACACTGTAGAACTGGCTTCAAAATTATTGCGAGTACTTCAGGCATCAAACAGCTACAATATTCGTGCATTTTTTCAAGCAAATTTTATTACAATCCCCACTAAAATAAAAAGGCCACACAAACATGGTAAACAAATTAATCACAATTTTTCTACATTTTTTTTTCACAACATTCCAACGATAGAGGATCAAGTGAAGAGCCGCAATCCTTAAAATATGCGGCGCACTTCCTACTATTTAAAAACGCGGTCCGAAGATGCATCATAATGAGTATTATACACATTTCATTACACAAGTGAAATCGCTCGTCGTCATCCCACAACAAAATTCTGTCCAGACAGGCATGACAAAAAATCATTCAATCAAGTCTATCCCATCCCTTCATCATGATTTCAGTTCAAGGAAAAAGAGTTAGACCCCTGAACTCTTTAGGATGTTTAGATTATTCACAGACAACTGCTTAAGCAATGATTGATTTACTGTATAACGTGAGCAAGTCAGCTTTTTCTTCATTTAGATTCAGGGAAATTAATAAGTCTGATACAGTAATAAAGAGCAATAAGTCAGAATGAAACTGTTGTCAGGCCAGTAATCAAGAAATTGTGGGTTTTGGAATAAAACACAGCAGGCAGCCTTTAGGAGGCCAGATCCTCCTCAAGGTATTCCCTCTAAACCTTCTTTACTTCTAAAGACAAGAACCTGAGGTGGACACCCATTTCCCTGGAGCTAATTTGTGAGCCACTAAAATATGAGCCAGTGTGCCCCCCCCCCCAGCCCCTCACTCTCCAAGCACATCACTCTCTCCATGAAGTAATTCTATGAGAGACTTCAAACAGTTAAACTGGATATAAACCGTGTACAGTGTATCAGGTCAATTACTACTCCTTTACCTCATAAACTTTGCTGTGAATCAATTGATAAAGAGAAACCCATGATTACAGTTCATTTGTGTTATCATAATCACATGAATGCTTTTCAATCAAATGAAATTTTTTTATTTTTCAATAAATGGTTGCAGTTCATTTAAAATTACTCCAATTATTGAATGAACTGTTCTGCATGAATACTTTGTTTGATTTTAACTTTTTCAAATAAGGTGATGAAATTATATTATTATTAATTATTTCTTTGCATCCATTCTCTGAACTGCTATTATCTTTGTATGCTTATATAATATATTTTGTCCAATTCCTATATTTCATTCATTCATAGCTTTCTTAATTTCATTCATAGCTTTCTTAATTTCATTCATAGCTTTCTTAATTTCATTCATAGATTTCTTAGTTCATTCAATTGATTATTGATAGGTGATTGATTGAGTATTTTTCCATTTTTGTTGTTTGAAAGACTTTCATCACTGTGCAACCTTACAACCCTAAACTGACTGTGCAACATTAGGGCTGTAACATTGCACATGGAAAAAAGCTGTGCAATGTTAGGGCTGTAATGTTGCACAGCTTTTTTCACTGTGCAACATTAGTGCTGTAATGTTGCACATTCTTTCACTGTGCAATGTTACAGCCCTAACTCATGAATCTTCTAGAACTCATCATGAAAGATGAAGCTGGAAAGAAAACTCAGCTTACTGGGCCTGATTTGAGTATGCATGTCCAGAATGCAACAAAAAAAGTAGCAGCTTGCAGCAGAAATGGCAATGCGGTGCACACAGATGTGAAGACATGGGTATGGTATAATTAAAAGTCACCACAAGGTTAAATATTCCTTGATGATACCCTTATGGATTTCAACAGATTAAAAATGCATATGAAACTCAGTTGAAGACTGTTGTGGGACAGTTCATGGTAATGAACTGCATGTCCCTTTCTTTCAAGTCATTTGGAACTGGTTTGTTTAAATCAGTCTACAATGCTTGCAGTATTCTGTGGGAATATTCCCCCTTCCAATGGAGGTCTCCTTTTGAAAGGGTGGCTGCTTTTGAATTTCAGAGTAACAAAGGTTTCCTAGTGAAACTAAATAAAAAGAAGGCCAATATGACCCCAGCATGCACTCCTAGTACCTATAAACAGAAGAGAAAAGTGAAAACGTGTCAAACAAAATAAAGGTTCGATTCAAGAAACTTACTTTGAACAAAGACCATAGTCATCACTAACCCGTTAAGTAAAGAACAGAAGTATGTGAAGTGGAGGCTGTTACCTATTGATAGTATAGTATATGAAGAGGAATAATGTTTCCGAAGCAAGATGCCAATGAGCAAGTCTCATTGAGGTATAGGACAGCATGAACATCCTGTCTCAAACATATGCATAAGTGTGATCTTTAGGTGGATTATCCAAACCATGGAATTCCATGGATTTGAACTGAAAAAAAGTTGTGGTACACAAAAAATTCAAGTATGGTTCATTGAGAATTCTCAACAATCATGAAACTACACTACATAAGGTTTAACTTCTATAGAAAAGCCCTATATACACATGACTGCTGTTTAGAGGTAACCTGTATGGTATTATGAATACGCTATTGTACATATATACAACTACATATCAATATATGTATATCTTATGCACACTGAATGTATGTTAGGTGCATACTATTTCATTTCATATCAGTGCATGTGTCCCTGCCTTGTGTGATCAAAATTTGAATACAGTACTCATTTCTTACATTCAGGGTATATACAATTACATTCAAAAATATTGCTTGTGGATTTCACCATGGGAAGCTTGACCAGTTTGCTGAACTTGAGTGCATAGGATGTGAAATTAAAAGATGCTTCAACCAGACATTGAGGAATGGA